GTGGTCACGCTTGTTGGTCCTGTCTGTGGTCACGCTTGTTGACCCTGTCTGTGGTCACGCTTGTTGACCCTGTCTGTGGTCACGCTTGTTGGTCCTGTCTGTGGTCACACTTGTTGGTCCTGTCTGTGGTCACACTTGTTGGTCCTGTCTGTGGTCACACTTGTTGGTCCTGTCTGTGGTCACACTTGTTGACCCCATCTGTGGTCACGCTTGTTGGTCCTGTCTGTGGTCACACTTGTTGGTCCTGTCTGTGGTCACAGTTGTTGGTCCTGTCTGTGGTCACACTTGTTGGTCCTGTCTGTGGTCACACTTGTTGGTCCTGTCTGTGGTCACACTTGTTGGTCCTGTCTGTGGTCACACTTGTTGGTCCTGTCTGTGGTCACACTTGTTGGTCCTGTCTGTGGTCACACTTGTTGGTCCTGTCTGTGGTCACGCTTGTTGGTCCTGTCTGTGGTCACACTTGTTGGTCCTGTCTGTGGTCACACTTGTTGGTCCTGTCTGTGGTCACACTTGTTGGTCCTGTCTGTGGTCACACTTGTTGGTCCTGTCTGTGGTCACACTTGTTGGTCCTGTCTGTGGTCACACTTGTTGGTCCTGTCTGTGGTCACACTTGTTGGTCCTGTCTGTGGTCACACTTGTTGACCCCATCTGTGGTCACGCTTGTTGGTCCTGTCTGTGGTCACGCTTGTTGGTCCTGTCTGTGGTCACGCTTGTTGGTCCTGTCTGTGGTCACGCTTGTTGGTCCTGTCTGTGGTCACGTTTGTTGGTCCTGTCTGTGGTCACGCTTGTTGACCCTGTCTGTGGTCACGCTTGTTGGTCCTGTCTGTGGTCACGCTTGTTGGTCCTGTCTGTGGTCACGCTTGTTGACCCTGTCTGTGGTCACGCTTGTTGGTCCTGTCTGTGGTCACGCTTGTTGGTCCTGTCTGTGGTCACGCTTGTTGGTCCTGTCTGTGGTCACGCTTGTTGGTCCTGTCTGTGGTCACGCTTGTTGACCCTGTCTGTGGTCACGCTTGTTGACCCTGTCTGTGGTCACGCTTGTTGACCCTGTCTGTGGTCACACTTGTTGGTCCTGTCTGTGGTCACACTTGTTGGTCCTGTCTGTGGTCACGCTTGTTGACCCTGTCTGTGGTCACGCTTGTTGACCCTGTCTGTGGTCACGCTTGTTGGTCCTGTCTGTGGTCACACTTGTTGGTCCTGTCTGTGGTCACGCTTGTTGACCCTGTCTGTGGTCACACTTGTTGGTCCTGTCTGTGGTCACGCTTGTTGGTCCTGTCTGTGGTCACGCTTGTTGGTCCTGTCTGTGGTCACGCTTGTTGGTCCTGTCTGTGGTCACGCTTGTTGGTCCTGTCTGTGGTCACACTTGTTGGTCCTGTCTGTGGTCACGCTTGTTGACCCCGTCTGTGGTCACACTTGGTGACCCCATCTGTGGTCACACTTGTTGACCCCATCTGTGGTCACGCTTGTTGACCCTGTCTGTGGTCACGCTTGTTGGTCCTGTCTGTGGTCACGCTTGTTGGTCCTGTCTGTGGTCACACTTGTTGGTCCTGTCTGTGGTCACGCTTGTTGACCCTGTCTGTGGTCACGCTTGTTGACCCTGTCTGTGGTCACGCTTGTTGACCCTGTCTGTGGTCACGCTTGTTGACCCTGTCTGTGGTCACGCTTGTTGGTCCTGTCTGTGGTCACGCTTGTTGGTCCTGTCTGTGGTCACGCTTGTTGGTCCTGTCTGTGGTCACGCTTGTTGGTCCTGTCTGTGGTCACGCTTGTTGACCCTGTCTGTGGTCACGCTTGTTGACCCTGTCTGTGGTCACGCTTGTTGACCCTGTCTGTGGTCACGCTTGTTGACCCTGTCTGTGGTCACGCTTGTTGACCCTGTCTGTGGTCACGCTTGTTGGTCCTGTCTGTGGTCACGCTTGTTGGTCCTGTCTGTGGTCACGCTTGTTGGTCCTGTCTGTGGTCACGCTTGTTGGTCCTGTCTGTGGTCACGCTTGTTGACCCTGTCTGTGGTCACGCTTGTTGACCCTGTCTGTGGTCACGCTTGTTGGTCCTGTCTGTGGTCACGCTTGTTGGTCCTGTCTGTGGTCACGCTTGTTGACCCTGTCTGTGGTCACGCTTGTTGACCCTGTCTGTGGTCACGCTTGTTGACCCTGTCTGTGGTCACGCTTGTTGGTCCTGTCTGTGGTCACGCTTGTTGACCCTGTCTGTGGTCACGCTTGTTGACCCTGTCTGTGGTCACGCTTGTTGACCCTGTCTGTGGTCACGCTTGTTGGTCCTGTCTGTGGTCACGCTTGTTGGTCCTGTCTGTGGTCACGCTTGTAGGTCCTGTCTGTGGTCACGCTTGTTGGTCCTGTCTGTGGTCACACTGACGGATCAGGTGCCTGGGGTCACGCTGACGGATCAGGTCCCAGTGGTCACGCTGACGGATCAGGTCCCAGTGGTCACGCTGACGGATCAAGTCCCAGTGGTCACACTGACGGATCAAGTCCCAGTGGTCACACTGACGGATCAGGTCCCAGTGGTCACACTGACGGATCAGGTCCCAGTGGTCACACTGACGGATCAGGTCCCAGTGGTCACGCTGACGGATCAGGTCCCAGTGGTCACGCTGACGGATCAGGTCCCAGTGGTCACACTGACGGATCAGGTCCCAGTGGTCACGCTGACGGATCAGGTCCCAGTGGTCACGCTGACGGATCAGGTCCCAGTGGTCACACTGACGGATCAGGTCCCAGTGGTCACACTGACGGATCAGGTCCCAGTGGTCACACTGACGGATCAGGTCCCAGTGGTCACACTGACGGATCAGGTCCCAGTGGTCACACTGACGGATCAGGTCCCAGTGGTCACACTGACGGATCAGGTCCCTGGGGTCACACTGACGGATCAGGTCCCAGTGGTCACACTGACGGATCAGGTCCCAGTGGTCACACTGACGGATCAGGTCCCAGTGGTCACACTGACGGATCAGGTCCCTGGGGTCACACTGACGGATCAGGTCCCTGGGGTCACGCTGACGGATCAGGTCCCAGTGGTCACGCTGACGGATCAGGTCCCAGTGGTCACACTGACGGATCAGGTCCCTGGGGTCACACTGACGGATCAGGTCCCTGGGGTCACGCTGACGGATCAGGTCCCAGTGGTCACACTGACGGATCAGGTCCCAGTGGTCACGCTGACGGATCAGGTCCCAGTGGTCACGCTGACGGATCAGGTCCCAGTGGTCACGCTGACGGATCAGGTCCCAGTGGTCACGCTGACGGATCAGGTCCCAGTGGTCACGCTGACGGATCAGGTCCCAGTGGTCACGCTGACGGATCAGGTCCCAGTGGTCACGCTGACGGATCAGGTCCCTGGGGTCACGCTGACGGATCAGGTCCCTGGGGTCACGCTGACGGATCAGGTCCCAGTGGTCACACTGACGGATCAGGTCCCAGTGGTCACACTGACGGATCAGGTCCCAGTGGTCACACTGACGGATCAGGTCCCTGGGGTCACGCTGACGGATCAGGTCCCAGTGGTCACACTGACGGATCAGGTCCCAGTGGTCACACTGACGGATCAGGTCCCAGTGGTCACACTGACGGATCAGGTCCCAGTGGTCACACTGACGGATCAGGTCCCAGTGGTCACACTGACGGATCAGGTCCCTGGGGTCACGCTGACGGATCAGGTCCCTGGGGTCACGCTGACGGATCAGGTCCCAGTGGTCACGCTGACGGATCAGGTCCCAGTGGTCACGCTGACGGATCAGGTCCCAGTGGTCACACTGACGGATCAGGTCCCAGTGGTCACACTGACGGATCAGGTCCCAGTGGTCACGCTGACGGATCAGGTCCCAGTGGTCACACTGACGGATCAGGTCCCAGTGGTCACACTGACGGATCAGGTCCCAGTGGTCACACTGACGGATCAGGTCCCTGGGGTCACGCTGACGGATCAGGTCCCAGTGGTCACACTGACGGATCAGGTCCCAGTGGTCACGCTGACGGATCAGGTCCCAGTGGTCACGCTGACGGATCAGGTCCCAGTGGTCACGCTGACGGATCAGGTCCCAGTGGTCACGCTGACGGATCAGGTCCCAGTGGTCACACTGACGGATCAGGTCCCAGGGGTCACGCTGACGGATCAGGTCCCAGTGGTCACGCTGACGGATCAGGTCCCAGTGGTCACGCTGACGGATCAGGTGCCTGGGGTCACACTGACGGATCAGGTGCCTGGGGTCACACTGACGGATCAGGTGCCTGGGGTCACACTGACGGATCAGGTGCCTGGGGTGACACTGACGGATCAGGTGCCTGGGGTCACACTGACGGATCAGGTCCCAGTGGTCACACTGACGGATCAGGTCCCAGTGGTCACACTGACGGATCAGACACCTAAGGTGCCGTGTGTTAAACAGATGTGTTGATAGTTTGGAATGAAACAGTTTGTTATTGTAAAACTATTGTCACAATACTTAAGACTGAATAAGGGCTAATACCACGAGGGGGGGGCACGTGGGGCCAGAAACCCCGGGGGGGGGGGTACGTGGGCCAGTGACTACGGGGGGCGGGCACGTGGGGGGGGGGGGGCACGTGGGGCCAGAAACCCCGGGGGGGGGCACGTGGGGCCAGAAACCCCGGGGGCACGTGGGGCCAGAAACCCCGGGGGGGGGGCTTGTGGGGCCAGAAACCCCGGGGGGGGGGCTTGTGGGGCCAGAAACCCCGGGGGGGGCACGTAGGCCAGTGCCCACGGGGGGCGGGCACGTGGGCCAGTGCCCACGGGGGGGGCACGTGGGCCAGTGCCCACGGAGGGGGGGGCACGTAGGCCAGTGCCCACGGGGGGGGGCACGTAGGCCAGTGCCCACGGGGGGCGGCACGTAGGCCAGTGCCCACGGGGGGCGGGCACGTGGGCCAGTGACAAAGCGTCGCTGGCCGTACAGAAGAGCTTCCTCAACATTCACCTACTAACATACCGACTTCTGAAGCATTTAGACATTACATTTATATTGTTTACTGTTGCAGGAGATGGTGGTGCAGGTGTAGGGGCGCCACACCAGGCAGCAGGTGTGAGCATGGGGTGTTGTGGGCTCGCCACACGTGTCGCCACAGCCAAGGTCAGTCTCTCTCCTCTTTTTCTTAACCTCCTCCTCCCATGCTAGTACTTACAGGAAGTACTTGCTCGAAAGTATCAATATGGAATGACGGACCACCAGAATGTGTCTGTGTATTGACGGACCACCAGAAAGTACCAATATGTAGAGACGGCTCACCAGAAAGTACCAATATGTAGTGAGGAGTAGTAGGGATGAAGCCGTATGGGCCTCTTTTTTTTCGGGAAAAGAGGCCCGTACGGCTTCAGGGGTTTCAGGTGAATTTGGGCAGTCACTGATTTGGAATTAGGGAATTCCAATGAGAAAAATAATTTCTGAGATTTTAGAAGTTTAAGAGTTCCTATGAGGAAAATAAGTAGGAAAATCTTATAGAAAAAAATTAGAAATATCGTGTTTAAGTAACAGTTTCTGGGTAAACTCTACGGACAACCTTTACCTTTTTTTTTCGGGAAAAGAGGCGCATACGGCGACGGGGTTTCAGGTAAATTAGGGCAGAGGACGATACGGCACACCGGATTCAACGAACTTTGGAAAGAGGACGCTACGGCGTCAGGTTTTCCAGGTGAATTTGGCCAGTCACAGATTTGGAATTAAGGAATTCTTATGAGGAAAATAATTTCGGAGATCTTAGAAGTTTGTTAAGCGTTCTTATGAGGAAAATATGATCATAGAAGTTTGTTAAGAGTTCTTATGGGAGAAATTTCAGAGTTCATACCGAGAATAAACAGATATTTAGGCCGTATATGTTTAAGTAGAAATTCTTACTTAGAAACGAGTACGACTATATAACTAAACTGAATCATTACCTGGCCATCCCTCTCCCCCTTCCCTCCCAACCCCCTGCATCTCCTGCTCTTACCTCACACCCCCTTACCTCCCAATCTCCTGCGTCACCTGTGTTTACCTTACACCACCAGCAAGACGCCGCCTGCAGGTCACCTCCATAGTCTTATCTTATCTTCTCCATAATATCTGGACCGTTCCTCCCCCTCTCTACCTGTTACCGTACCCTCCTCTCCTTCATATTGTTCAGTCATAATTCCGTACAGCTATTTTAGACATCGTAATATTTGTTCCTTTACATTAAACGAGTCAGTTTTACACAAATAAACAAAGTCAGTAAGCAGAGTCTAGCTCACGTTCCCCACCTTAGTTTTACTAATACATCTTCTTTAGTATCCAATCATTTTCTTCGAGATTTAAAACATAGCTATTTAAAACGTATTAAAATACAATAATTTAGTTAACGAGCTCCAGCTCCTGTCCCCCCGCCATAGTTCCCTCTCATATCCTCGTTAATACCTAACCAATCCCCTTAATTTTAAAACAGCCATATTTCGTATGTAGTAAAATGAATCATGTTGGTAAGTAAGTTCTAGCTCCTGTTCCTGCCTTAGTTTATCTCCGCAACTTCTTTACTAACAGTCCAATCCACCTAAAATTTTTAGTAGCCATATTTCTAACGTAGTGCAATACAGTAATTTAGTTACTGAGCCCCAGCTCTTGTCCTCCACCTTAGTTTCCTCGCACATCTTCGTTAATAACCCATTAATTTTCATGAAATTTAAACCTGCCATACCTCTGAGTAAGTAAAGATAACACATTTACCGAACTCTAGCTCTTGTCCTCCGCCTTAGCTCTCTCGTATCTTCGTTAATAACCCATTAATTTTCATGAAATTTAAACCTGCCATACCTCTGAGTAAGTAAAGATAACACATTTACCGAACTCTAGCTCTTGTCCTCCGCCTTAGCTCTCTCGTATCTTCGTTAATAATCCATCAATTTTCCTGAAATGTTTACCCTCTGTATTACAGACGCAGTAAATAAGATCGAGTTGGTTATCGAGCTCCAGCTCTTGTCCCCCGCCTTAATTCATTTGTACAAGTTCTTTAGTAACAGACCAATTTTCCCCAAATTTAAAGCAGATATACTTCAAAGGTAGTAAACCAAATCAAAACAGTTAACAAGCTCCAGCTCTCGTCCCCCACTTTAGTTCTCTCTCGTATCTTTGTAAATAACCAATAAATTTTCCTGAAATTTATAACTGCTGTATTTCGGACACGGTAAATAAACCCAGTTCAGTTACCGAGTTTCAACTCTTGTTCTCCGCTTAGCTCATTTGTACAAGTTCTTTATTATCAGACCAAATCACCTGAGATTTAAGATCACCATATTTCTAACATAGTAAAATTAATCAGGACATTAGCTCCATTTCCGCTGCCTTAGATCATCAAACATAAATATTTCCGATTAAGTCCCTCTGCAGCCTAACTCTTTATCAGAGTAATCACATAACCGCACCTGCGTAATTATCTTTTCACCCCCTCCCACTTTCCTCCATCTCGTCAAAGTCTCATAAATTTAAATGTAGCTGTTAATTTGCTTACTTTCTTTCCCCGTTCATAGCATATTCTCTGTTAGTTCAGATCAGTACTTAGTCTTACATATTCTCTAGTTCATTCCATTTTATATAAGACTTAAACAACTATTACCGTGTCCCCTATCATATTTTAACATGACTCATATGTAAATATACCCAACTCCTTCCATACATTAAAAGTCCCAGCATGTTCGCATCGCATCTAACTACACTTTCTACTTTACATGATCTTGCATGTGTTCTACACATCATTTTTTTTTTTTTTTTTTTGAGTTGTTACTCAAATTTTTTTTGAGTTGTTATACAAGAGTTGTTACATTCTTGTACAGCCACTAGTACGCGTAGCATTTCGGGCAAGTCTTTAATCCTATGGTCCCTGGAATACGATCCCCTGCCGCGAAGAATCGTTTTTTCATCCAAGTACACATTTTACTGTTGCGTTAAACAGAGGCTACAGTTAAGGAATTGCGCCCAGTAAATCCTCCCCGGCCAGGATACGAACCCATGACAGCGCTCGCGGAACGCCAGGCTAGTGTCTTACCACTACACCACGGAGACTGCATCTCGGTACCGACGCTTACAATCTCTCTCGATCCTTTACACGCTCGCACATGTTCTCAGCGTAATGTTTACTGGCCATACTCCCTTAACTCGTGGTCACTTGATGGAGCGCCGCCCTGCTCCTTGTTGTCCTAATTGCACTGTCCCTCATATGGTCGTGCATATCCTTGTTGAATTTCCTGACTTCCGGGACAAGCGTGTCTCTTGATTTCCGACAGTCCTCTGTGGTCGCTTGTTTCTCGATAGTATTCTTGGTGACTCGGATACTTTTGATATCGTTCGCCTTATGCGTTTGTTCTCGCATTGGCATCCTTGGTGATATTTAGCGCCCTCTGATTATCCCGCACATTTGATGGTGTTATATATATATATATATATATATATATATATATATATATATATATATATATATATATATATATATATGTATAATATGTATGTATATATATATATATATATATATATATATATATATGTATGTATATATATATATATATATATATGTATGTATATATATATACACACACACACAACTAACACAACACCTATACCCCCTATTAGACTATTTTACAGGAACTTCTTTTCCACAGCCCATAAAACGGAGGAAAGGGTCCTGAAAGATATTGTCAGTAGAAACGTTATCCCTACAGACAAAAATCAGAAGATACGACTGACAATTTACTATAAAACCAAAAAAACTCATGAGAAGCCAGCCTACTCATGAGAAACTCTCCAGACACAAAGCAGAACGTTTTAAGAGACCAACGTCGTCTATGCCTTCAAATGCCCTCTTGGGGACTGTAAGCTCCAAAAAACTCAGTATATAGGCAAGACAACAACATCTCTTTCCAGGCGTTTAACGATGCATAAGCAACAGGGCTCCATTAAGGAACATATAATCTCTTCCCACAACCAAACCATCACCAGAGAAATCTTAGCAAACAACACAGAAATCATCGATAGATACAGCGATAGCAGGCGGCTCGACGTCTGCGAGGCACTACACATCAAGAAGTCAACACCAGCAATCAACAGCCAATTAATGCATAACTATATTCTACCCACATCAAGACTCCGCTCCAATATAGAAGCATCAAGAAATATGGGCCAATAAAAATAGGCCTTCTGCAGTTACCTACCTTTAATACCTGTTTGTATTTCATTGTTTCGTGTTCTGTCTTGTGTTAAAAGTTTATTTTCACCTCATCCAAAACTATTGTAAGATGTCACTTCACCCAAATGTAGGTATAAAAACTCGAAAGATGTTTAAGCTCTATTCAGTTAAAGTTGTGTGTGTGTGTGTAAACTAAAGTCTTTGAAAATGTAATAAGTTTTACGAAACGCGCTCAAGTGTCGCGTCAGACTAGAAATAAAAATGAATTTTGGAGAATTGATCTTTGAATTACCATCAACAGTGAAAAGAAACGTAAGAAAGATAGAAAATTCGTGTTAGAATTATTAATCTTACTTTTTCGGTCATATTTAATAATATATGTCTACAGGAAAGACTGCTACCAAAATATACTCATATAAATATATATATATATAAATATATATATATAATATATATATAAATATATATATATATATATATATATATATATATATATATATATATATATATATATATATATATATATAAATATATATATATATATAATATATATATATATATATATATATATATATATATATATATATATATATATATAATATATATATATATATATATATATATATATATATATATATATATATATATATATATATATATATATATATATATATATATATATATATATATATATATATATATATATATATATATATATATGTGTATATCACGAAAATAAACACGTGATTAAGAATGTGACAATGTCAGACCACGGAGGAAAAATGAAACAGGAAATTTCCTTAAGTACTTTCGTATATTAAAGAGACCTTCAGACCTTCAGAGACCTTCTGAAGATGTATTTAATATACGAAAGTACTTAAGGAAATTTCCTGTTTCATTTTTCCTCCGTGGTCTGACATTGTCATATATATATATATATATATAT